TCTGTCTTAATCAGCGTATCCATCAGCTGCAAGGACACCACACTTACGCGTCATTTTCTTTCCCTTTTTTGTTTTTTTTGTTTTTTTTTTTTTTTTCTATTTCCTTTCTCTCTTTCTTTCCCCAAGAATAAGCTCAAAGTGAAAAAAAGAAGAAGAAGAAGAGCATAAATATACTTTTTAATTATCGTGTGTGTCAGGGGACGCATTGTTCTTTGTTTTTTTTTTAGATATATCAGACGTACGCATGTGTGTATGTATGTATGTATGAGGGGGATAATCAAATTAGGGAAAAACATGAAAACGTATGCGTACATGTAATAATAAAATGTATGTAGTTACGCAATTGGGCAGGTAAAAACGCAAATAATCAAGCTACGAGTTTGCTGATGACATTTTTCATTTTATGTGGCGTTAGAAAATGTTAATATTTCATAGAGATTTCAAAATCTTCATTTTTGTTTCTTATATGGTCAAGCTGATTATTACATTTTCATTTCTATACGAGCGTTTTTTTTCTTTCTTTCTTTCTTTCTTTTTTCAGCAAATCGTAGCCTTTGGACGTATAAACAAAGTGGGGAAAAAGAAAAAGTTAGTAAAATCTTTCCTTCAATCCAAAATATTATCATTTAAATTGATTTGAAATAATGTACCTCAGCTACTGTCATTCTTCTACCAGTTATTTCTTGTTCACGACGATTTTCATCTTCCTTTCGTTCTGCCTCGGCATCGGCTACAATATCGGTTACATCGTCGTCATCCAAATCGTCGAACATGTAATAGTCACCTGACCTGATGGCTGATTAGAAAAATAATAATGTTATTACTGTTATACTACTACATTGATACTAGCTTAAAAGAAATTAAAGCCATGCATTCGGTACGAATATTTCTTAAATTTCTAAATTAAGCAAATAATAACGGAAGCTACTTATAATTTAAACCAAATCAGATCAATTTTTGTTGAAATTAGTTGTTCAATTGTTCGAATAACTCTTTCAATGCTTTTCTGTAGTAATCATTTACTTAATATATATATATATTTGCATAGATGATAATATATTCAAATTGTATCTGATTTGTTTTGAGACAAATATAATATAATTTACGTTACAATTAATTTGAATTATATTCATATTTTGTTCGTTAATATTCTTACATAGACAGTAACATATATATAATGTACAGAATTAATTGTACAATTAATTATTAATGTAATAACAATAATTAGCGAGACATCAGTTAGATAAAGCTGTTATATGTACAAGTTATACAAGTACTGCCTGTAATAATTTAATGTGGTTAAATCAGAGAAGGACATCGGTTAAGCCGGAAATAAAGCCCAGAGTTAAGCTGTAAAAATTATTAATTTACCCTCTCTGTTGGTCTTTGGAGCGCGAACTCTGTACAACGGCCGTGTCCCTGGATAAAGAGTATCTAACAAAACACAGATAAATAATATTGATGAAAAAAGTGATGTAAAAAGTTCTCGACATAGGGTCAGAAGACCCTTGTGATAATTTTAAATCTCGTTCGTTAAAAAAAAACAAAAGAAACGATGAACAAAATATAAATATTTAATATTATATAACGATGAAGATAAATAAATAAATAAATGAATGAATGAACAAATAAATAAATAAATCTACTAGTCGATCAGTGATCTCTAAATGATACTACAACTAAAAATGCATCCTATGAAAATGACAGACAGAGTTGTCACACTATGAATCGATTTTGGAATCGTAATTCATGCAACGATTATTATACAGGTAACACCCAATGAAATTCTACTTAAATCGAATATATATCATCCATTGGTTGAGTGCAATTTTCTTTCCTAAAGGTAGAGTTTCTTTTGTAATCGAATAACTGCTGTTTACCGATCGCATTGTCCTAACAGTCGCATTATTTTACAGGATGCAACGAAAGTAGACAATAATGTAGAGAAGAAGAAATTGGTCTGAGGTATTAGAAGTGGTGATGGATAAGACGAACTAACAAGTGCTAGAGCGTGGAAGCTTATGTACAGGACACATCGTAGCAGACTGACGACGACGAGGACGTTGTTTCCTGGAGTGTCGTTACATGTGTGATGAGAGTGCGGGGAACGAGAGGCTGTTGAAACAATGGACTGCCTCGGTGTCTGCAATCCGTTCATCCAGGGTGGACCGATGAAACTGGATTGACGTCGATGATGTCTTGTTGAGGAAGTCAACGAACGATCTTGAAGAGGTTGATCGTAAGGCGGAGGAGAGAAGACTGGGAAAGTTTCATCAGGTGAAGGCCCACGTGGATTCAGCTCACTACTCGGTGGAGAACCAAATGATATACGAGTGGGCTCGAGATAAGCCTCAAGGCTCACTGTCATGATCGCCGAATTCGGTGTTGGCGCTTGCAAAAGCGACGCGGCTCTTGGCGTCAACGGAGGTGGTTCATCATTGTCCTCGTCAATTGGCGTCTGATAACCTTGAGGTGGAGTATGACCCGATGAAACGCACGAACTCACGCTGGAAGACCTCGCCAAAGGTGCTTCCCCTTTTTTGTTTGCATTAAATAAAGATACTTCGAGTTAAGGTGCGAATTTAATGTGCGTTTCACTTACTCGGCTCACTAGAATATAAACCTGCATTGGCTTCAAATGAAAATGAAAGGACAAAATGGATTTTTCGAAGGAATGAAATTGAATTCTTCGAAACTACAAACACGGAAATGCTTTTGGTAAGGTCTCGACAAAAAGGGATATCTAATTAATATTATTTTTCTTGTCAAGTTGAATTATAGCTGAAGAATTATAGTTGATTTTGACTGTTGCCTCTTCTGAAATGTGTCATTTCCTTACAACGAATTTATATAATAATATTGTATAATATAATTTTAACGTCGTACCGTTCTCTTTCGATATATTCAAACGAATTATATTAATCTAATTAATCGATCCTATTATTAGAACGTATTTAAATGTTAATAATTATTGCCTATAATAAAGAAACATTCTCTTACCTATTTTATGGGTTTGAGGTTCTCTATATGACGGTCCCTGAATTTTTCTCTGATTAGCTTTGATCTTGTCCATCTTGTGTTTGAGTTTCTGTAGAACAGTCTTTTCCACGTTATCTTGGATCCTTATGCGTTTCTGATGCAACTCTTCAAGAAGTTCAGCTCCTCGCGATGCTAATATACTCATTGCCTTTGTTTCATCCACGATGTGGAAGAAATAATAACTTTTAAAGAGACGTTTTTGCATCAAAAGAAAGCCGAAACATAATCCATCCCAAACCATGCCGATATCTTCTCTAGGTACTTGGCAAATCTCTCCGACGTTTCCCATATCGTTCGTTGCGCTGTGGAATTTTTTAAGACAGGCAATACCAAGTAATTGGACTAGCCAGCAGGCAGAATTTTGCAGCTAAAAAATTCTTCGTCATTATTACTTGATTCTTGAAAATCATTTATGAAAAGTAACAAATAAACGATATTATAAAAAATGTTACCTCGTGTATCAAGACACAGCCAACACCTTGTAGTAAAGATTTAGAAAATATGACAATGATGTTATAACCAAGTAACATATTCCACCATTTGAGTATTGTTTTAACTGGTCTCAAATAGAAATCGCTACCCTGCCATAGGAATACAAAGGCACCGATAAGATAACCAAGAGAAAACAAATTAGTTCTTTTGGTTCCAGCCAAGAACATAATAGAAAGAGTGATCCACATGAGACTCATCATAACACCCCGTTTAAATACATCTAACCAAGAGTGTATATGAGAGACGTAATCTTTAACAGGATTCATAAAATTCGGATTATCCATGTTTTGGAAAACAGAAAAGTTATGACCCGCTATGAACTCTCGAGCGGATATTATGCTTCTTTGTTCAATACTGAAGACAAGACTTTGTCGAACGATCATCATTAGTAATAAAAAGTCACCTAAACAATAAAAAAAACAAGTTAGAGATATAATCACGAATATAACATTATATTTAAATATATTACGATTTAATTATTGCAATATACGAATCTATACCTACAGATTAATTTTTTCGGATTTGGTGGATAATCCGGATCTGGAAAATACATCCATTCTTGCAATCTTTGTAACATTTCCGAACGATTCCAAGGATATTCTATATAACACAGGCAAATAAAAATAATATACTATGTTAAATCGATAAGTGTAATTCAATCAGAAAACAATTGTTCTTCAAAGTATATTACCTATGCAAAGCCACGTAGGCGGTGCTACCACCAAAGCATATTGTATGGGCAATGATACTATAGCAAACGTTTTAAAGAACGGCCATATCCTAGAAACGGTTTTCCTCTTTAATGGGAAGAACAATAGAAGCCAACAACCATAAAGAACGGAGTAAAAGTCGAGTCTCATGCCAATAAGAGTAACAATTCCGATAAGGCACATCTCAAGGCCGAATTTATAAAATCCATAATTAAAGAGGAACTTCAAACATTCTGGTATACCCCTGTCCGCGTCTACTCTGCCAATACTTGGAAACATGACTTGAGGAGTTTCCAAAGATTCCCCTTTAGCACTTCGATAAAACCACTGTCGAATTCGAATGATTTTTCTTAAGGTTGTTACTGTAACAATACCAATGTATCCCTTCAACAATTCTGCAAGATGCCCTGGTTCACCTTTTTTAATACCAAACCATTCTGCGATGTTATATATGGTGTCGTTGCCAACATATTTTTCTGAACTTTCGTTAAATCCTCTCTATAAGCGAATAATTCCATCTATTTAACAATACTGCTACCAAAATCAATTATAATAAATAATCATTTAATATACTATATTGATTATGATTTACTTACTGTGCAATTTACGTTCCAATTATTGTGATTAATATATTTTATTTGATACAACATTTTGGTTACCATTAAAAGTGCAATAACGGCAGCTATAACGTTGATCGACATAATTTGTATGTTTCTATTGAAATTAATTACTATTACTACAGCAAGGACAAAAAGAAAATTTATTGCGCACACCTGAAAATAAAAATAATGAAATATTTTATACGCGATAGCAAGAGCATATATATAGGATGTGTTTAACTTACATCATTGACACATAAAAGAATTAGAGAAATAAAAATGATTTTTTGCATGTGAATCTCAAGGAATAACCAACTATAATTGTAAAAATGAACTAAATGATTCATTAAATTTCGTATAAGTTCAATTCTTTCCAGTCTTGACATTCCTGTTAAAAATACATGGTAAAGTTTTAATGTGTTCTATCTTTTCTTTTGCGTAATCATTTATCAATGATTCAATATACATTAACTTACGTTTGAGTTGTTTTAAAGTATACATATTTGATGTTTCCTCTTCTCCTAGAATAACATCTGTAGGTGAAGTCATAGAAATGTTCAAACTAGGGCTATGTCCGAGACTTGTTCGCCTAAAAGCACTTTCTGGTCTAAGAAAGTAATTAATTGTATTATTATTTTTGAATACTGACAAAAAATTTGGAATAAATAAACATAGGTTTTATTACAAACCCGAGTTTATCGATAGTCGTTGCTTGTAAGAAGTCATTATGAAAATAGTGCATCTGAAGTACCGTGATAATAACGAAAAATGTTGGTGTCAATAGTCTTACAAACAGATCCTTGGTTTCATATATTTCCAAACCAATGTCCATTTGTCTATAAAAAAAGAAAATAATAATTATAATAAATAACAATAAATTATATATAATAATGGCTTGCGAAAAATAAATAGGAATACTTGCAATTGTTCGTTTATACCCAAATAATTCCAATATGTCGGGAAATTTTGAAATTGATAGGTATATACAAGGATTAACATGATTATGGAATAGCCAATTACAGTTATCCAAAAAGTATACATTATTTTTCTCCATATTGACCAGGACATCTGATAAATTAACAAATTGATTATTCACGATCTTACTTAAGTCAAAGCGTCATCGCAATGTGTAATCAATGTATAGGGTGTCCCAAAAGTAATTTTATCGAATTGACAATTTTTGGCAAGTGTGGAAGTGGAGGCATATAATAACAGGCTCATATTTTTTTTAAATAATACTGCAATTGGAGATTTATGCATTGAAATGAAAAACAAAATATTGTAATTCTATTAATAAATTATTGATTGATTTGATTTTCTCGGTAAAGCAACTTTTGAGATACCCCATATGTGTATATGTTCATGTATATAGATATATAAATTAATATGAGTCACCTGGAATGTAATTACGAAGAAAAGGAATAAGGACATGTAAATAATTCTGAAAACTGTCATTCGTTCACCGGTAATACCGCAAATGAACAGAGTAATAGCTACAACGGCGATCCAGAATTTAGTCAATAGTTGTTTTAATATGATACCAACGTCTTTCATAAATTTGCTTTTAACTTCTGGTACTTCGTGATTCATCGCTGTTGTGGCTGTAGAAACTGAGACGTGTAAAGGCGCGACAATGTCTCTCAAAGTTGACAATTGTCTCTGTTGTTTCCATTCTGCTGTATATTGTCTCATAGTAATCCAAAATATCAACATGAACGAACACTATAAAGTTTAATATGAATCTCTGTTAGTATTATATTTTCCTATTAGAAAATTATCAATGTTTGTTCATTTATTTTATTTCAAATATACCTTAACAATCAAATGCCAACGGCTAAGTTCTTGTGCTTTACTGAATCCTATTTCAGATATTTTGATACCATTAACCACAGTCGGCAATTCTTCTTCGGTCAAATCCATACTGTAAACGTATTGCCCAAGTAACAAAAGGGTCGAATAAAAGACGATGAAGGGTGAACATTTCATCATCGAAGCACGTTTATTAGATACCATCCATAGAATTAATGCCCAAAGTAAAAGTGCAAAGGTTGTCCAACTGTGATACATTATACTCCAGGTCTGAATATAAACAAAATTAATATATCAAATTAACACGAATTACAAATTAAATTATATTATTAATATTTGATTCTAGAATTAATATTTACCATCATGATAATATTCGTAGCGAGATAAGAAGAATTAATTATCAATTGAAATATCGAATATACAGCCATAATGATATGTTCCAAAATTCCAGGACTATCTCCAGGTGCACCTGTATAATTAATTATTATTATTATTATTATTATTATTATTATAAATAACGATGATAGAGAGAAATTGTATGAAATATTGAAATATGAAAAATGACAAACCATCGTCAAGATTTTGTAATTGTATATTGTCATCTTGATGACCATCTTGTATGATAACGCTGCCAGTTGAATCTTGTAGAAGTCCTGTTCTTCCAGACCCAAAACGCATCAACTAATAAACGTATAACAATTCTATGTTCTATTATACGTAATGAGCATTCATTTACTTATACTATAGATAAATATATACAATATATATTAAATTAAATCAATGTATATATAAAAAAATATTGTTTATATATATTTGTAATTGTGTTTGAATGAATGTCGATATATAAAGCAAAATTATTATTGGGTTAAATATCTGCGTGCAGAAATCATCACATGAAATAAGTGAAGTTAAGTGTTTACACCAATGTGTTAATAAGAATAATAAAACGATTATACGTAAAGAAAAAATAGGCAAGAAGAATTTTTGTTCAAACATACATATATATATATATATACGTACATTATGTAAACGATATATAAGGGAATATATATTGAAAGATTCAAAAATGAATAATTATTGAAATACTCGTGCATATTTGAACGATATACGTACGGGTGTCCTCTCGTTGGGAAGTATCATCGATGTATCATCAACGATCGGCCTCTAAAACAATGGCAAACTAAACATAGCAGCATCCAAACGGAAAAGTGTATTGCTCAGCGTTAAGGAACAACCATTAATCTGTAAGGCCACAGCAAATCAAAATTCGAAATGTTTTCAAAAGAGACCGAATCATTTAGCGAATAACTATGATGATTGTTTGAATATATAATATACACATATATACAAACGCATACAGAGTCCAATTTATTTTCCCGCAAAATGCTACGGTCTCTTTAACTCAAGTAAAAAATCAAAATAATTGTTGTATTTGCGTTACAAGCAGAAAAAAAAAAGAAAAACGATAAATAATATAAAAATAAATCAAATAAATTAAGAATATTTTTATTTTTTCGCGAAGCATAATCAAAATCGTGACGACAAAAATTTGTTCGATGATAAAAATAATGAAATAAATTTAACAATCATGCAAGACACATTCTTATATTGAACACGTAGATATATTTAGGCTTAAATAGCTTTGGCTCATGCAGGGAAAATTCCTTACGCGAGCCTTCCGTCGTGCGGATTGCCATCTTTGGGATGGTGTTCTTCGTCGAATCGAAACATGCCTGGACAATGGCGTGTCCAAGTTCTCGAGCTTACCGCTTAATCGTGCCACTTTCTTTGCCTGCAAAGCTTCGTTAGTAAAAGCTACTTATCGGTTTTAAAAGTAGGAAACAAATACGATTTAAAATGTAATGTTACACACACTTGTCGTGTCATTATCTGTTATTCACTGCATTCTGATTTCTTTTTTTTAAACGATTACTATTATCCATTTATTAATAAAGTTATCTCAATATTTTTTTTCTTTCTTTTTTTCTTCAACGCGATAATACTTTTTGTTTTTTATTTATACAAAATTTGTATAAATCTGTCGTATTACAAAATTATTAATTTACTTTTTGTTTTTTGTTTTTATTCGTAATAGATTAAATATGACTTATGTAACAGACACCTAATGTATTATTTCAACAACCATATTCACACTGTGTCCATGAAAAAGCTAATAAAGTATACCAGACATCGATGTTAACCGAATTCGTTAATGCGAGTCTCCGCTAGATTTGTTATTTTGTTAGTCGAAATTGCTCAAGCATATGTAATGTTATTTGACAATTTTGTACATTATCATTTTATTATTAAACACGTTGATTGTTATAAATAAATATATAATATATAATCTTCATGGAAATAATATTTGAAATCTAAGCGCCTTTAGGTTTCGTTTCAAAATTAAATACACAAATGCTGCTAAACCACCTCCCCATAAAATAGAATCCAAATTTATAAAGTAAAACTATCTCAATAATATAATGAATAAATTAATAATCACACGCGTGTGTTTGATTTAATGAATTAATATTATTTTTTTTTTGGAAAAACGAAACCTATTGGCAATTTAAAAACGTTGCGTTAATAATTATAATGACTTACTGGTTTTTTATTGAGAAATTGTGATTGCAGAGCCAAAACGTAGTAGAGCCAGAATAATCTCAATGCGTATCCGTAAGGTAGCCAATCGGTATCATCTGCATACTCCACGTAATTTGGTCGGGTACAATTAGTACGATAAATAGCAGTCAATGCAAAATAACGAGACCACGTGCTATTGACGGGTATTAATTCTTGAGGCCACTGATTTTGATAACCAAGTAGGGCTACAATATGAACGACCACTACTATCATAACGATTTTGCATAGAATTGCAAAACCTTTTCTTAATTCCTTATTGCAAGCCCACCACGTTGCAGTACCAAGAAATACCAGAAAGTAGAATGCACCTTCAACCGATGGTTTTAAGGATGCGGTACAGCACAAAGAAGCAAGAACTACGTACGTGCCGATACGACCAAGAAAATTGATTATCTGTATGACGAATTTTTTTCAATTGATTTTAATCTTATTATGAGTTTTATTAAAGCGTTCGCTACCACGGTTTTATCATTGGTTAACAAAATCATCTTTAGACGGATCTTAATTTCTTGCAATTATTTGATGCAATATGTGTCTCATGCAAATATTATATTAATATAACAAAGTATATATATTTTTGCACCTAAAAATATCATATATATATATGTTACCGTCAAAGCATTACAATGCTGTAAATTGTGCATCTTTGCAATTTCTTTGAAAAGTTTTGGTAAATATTTTTTATACTTTTAGCAAATAGATTTTAATGAAACTTATATTAAATTAAAGTGCACTCTTTTATCTA